ACATACATACATACATACATACATACATACATACATACATACATACATACATACATACATACATACAGTAGGCCAGATATTTGGCCAATTAGCAATACGCCAGGAAATAGGGCCCTTAACACATTTAGCTCCTGGGCAAGGGAACATAGGTAGGTTTTACAAAACCTTACAAAAGACTAACTGCTTTCATTCTAATCATCCCTGCAGAGAAACCTTCAGTGACCTTTTTTTGACTTTTTCATTGACTTTTTTTGTGGCAATTGTTAAAACTACTCAGCATTGTCATTAAGTGCATGCACAGTCATTGAGCAAATGCATGGTCGTTAAGAGGTCATTATGGGGCACTATTCCAAAAACAGGAAGTAAATACCATGTTTTGGCAAAAACTTTATAAATTGTGGTCATGTAACTGCAGGATGTTGCAAACAACTGTAAATGTTGACAGACAGTCAAGTGACTGAAATGCAGCCAAATGATTGCAGGGGGAGCAGGTATAGGATTGTTGTAACTGAGTTGTAAGTACCTTTTTGGGATTCATCATAACTTCAAATGGTCGCTAAGTGATCTATTGTAAGTTAAGGACTACCTATAGAGATTTTGCACATTTTGACCAGTTTTAACCAAGTGTGGTTATTCCTCTCGAAAGCTTTCACGTTTGTATATTCCTTGGTGTTTATGTATGAATGTGTGCAAATAAGCATGGGTTTTCCAATTATTATGTGTGAAGTCCTTGGGAATAGATTGGGAATTAATTATTGCTTGAGTGAGAAAGACAGCATTATGAATTATCAGGAAAAACAGAAAGAAACAGCAAATGTATGTTCTTAAGTCAACTTGTTGCAAACATTTAGCTCTGGGACCCAAGCTTTGATATGTCCAGGTAGTCTTTGAATTACAACCATTCATTTAGTGACCAAGTTACAATTGCACTTTAAAAAGTGACTTATGACGTGTTACCCCTGCCCCGTGCATGCGCATGCAACACCCACCTATGGCACAAGCCAGCTGATTTTTGGCTTCCGGAGTGCTGGGGGCAGGGGTGAGTTCCTGCCAGTTCTAACCTCTTCTGTAGAAGTGGTTCCACAAATGTACAGTGCCATTGTACAGTGCGGTTCCAGCTCCCTCCTCCCNGCAAAAACTTTTTTTTTAATTTGCCTCTTCAAAATCTTGTTGCGTCTTATACTCCGGTGCATCTTATACTCCGAAAAATACGGTATATTCAACACTTTCAGTGAAATTTTTATATAGAAAAAAAATGAATCTAAAGGACCAAGGACTCTTAAATCTAAAGTTTTGATAAGAGTTTCAACAATTCAATTACAACATAAAATAAATTTACTTTATATTATTTTAAGTAAAATTTCTGACTGAGAAAAAATTAATTAGTACACTAGGAAAAGGCATACACACACACACACACACACATACGCTATCTGTACAAAAACTGTCAGTGTTTGAATTTCACACATGCAAAATTGCTACTGTGAGCACTAGTTGGAGATTTGTAGAAGATTTTCTTCTGGGTCGAATACAGATTTCTTTCCTGTTACCTTATTTCCCTGAATTTTTTAACTATTGGTTTATAATATAATATGGCATTTCTAATTTTCAGTTTTAAATGACTATTCTCCTGTGGAAGAAGACACAAATGAGCCAGAAATCCCAGGTTTGTCTGATTTATATTACAATAAAGGAAATATATTTAATGATTGTTAAAAGTACGTAATAGATTGGTCAAAAAAAAGTTTTTACTATCCTTTAATTGTATAATCAGCCTTTTCTATTTAAATGATCAAGACTAATAAGTATCTTGCTTATTTTTGGTCATAAAAGATAATGTTGATAGAAAACAGTTATATCTACTTCTACCTAGAACCTAAGACGTCTTTCTGAATTTAGAAAAAAACTCTCTTTGGTTGCATGCACTGATTTCAACCTTGAATTTGCTTATCTCCATCTTAAGAGGAGAATAACAAATTTCACACACACACAAACACGAACTGTATATTTGAAAAGAACATGGAAAAGAGAATTGATCATGTTCTGAAGTATGTTCCTTGCTACTTGTCAGTAGTTTTAAACCTGAAGAAGTAGAATTAATTTTTCTTGACATATTCATCTTTGGGGGAACCAAAAGTTACTTCATGATATTATAAAACTGTGATAATTTCTGACTTCTTTGAAGAATGTGACTGAGCAGGAAAGAAAGCATATGCACTCAGTCTTTTAAGCTTCTCCTAGAGAGATTGGTCATTTCCAGATTTGTGAATCAAATAGAATTAGTAATGTGAAACTATGTATAAGTGTATGGAATGGTATGGTTGGAGAGAAAATGATTTTATATGTTTAAACAAAAAATTGTAATTGCAATCAATACTGTAACACACTTTCTAGGTGGCAAGTAAAAATGAGGAACACATCTGTGAAAGCATAGTGGCTTTCATCCATTTAGGAATCAGTATGATACAGGATTGCGGTGGCTCAGTGGCTAAGACACTGAGCTTGTCGATCGAAAGTTTGGCAGTTCGTATCCCTAGTGCTGCATAACTGGGTGAGCTCCCCGTTAGTTGTCCCAGCTTCTGCCAACCTAGCAGTTCTAAAGCACATAAAAATGCAAGTAGAAAAATAGGGACCACCTTTGGTGGGAAGTAACAGCGTTCCTTGCGCCTTCTGCGTTTAGTCATGCCGGCCACATGACCATGGAGACTTCTTCGGACAATGCTGGCTCTTTGGCTTTGAAACGGAGATGAGCACCGCCCCCTAGAGCCAGGAATAACTAGCACATATGTTCGAGGGGAACCTTTACCTTTACCTATGATACTTAAGGGTGTGTGTGTGTCATGATTTCCATTTTTATAACTACCTCTGAAAGGATATACTTTCTGAATAAGATTACATAACATCATGTTTCTTCCAGATTTTAATATTCTTCTCATTTGCAGAATCTGGTCCAGGAAATGCAGAACAGCCTGACCATATAGAAGAAGAAGGTATCTTTTTGCATGGTTTTCTAACAGTATTTCAGTAGTGATTATCAACATGGCATTGTTTTCCATTATTAATCTGTCATATCAAACCAATAATTCCATATTTTAAGTCTCTTTCAGTGAATGCTGGCTTACTTTTGCATACCCAAAGTTTTGCCCCATTTGACTCTATTGAAATTCTGTGGCTATGTGATGTTTACATAGACTTTTTCCAACTGATTGGTATCTTATGCTGATGGAGATCTGTTCTGTTGGCTGAACACATGGGAGTGATGTAGAGAAACAATGATAGAGCGCTAAGTGGGTAGGAAAGAGCTGGCTCATCAAGTTTGTAAAACCTAATATGTCAGTGCAAATAAATTGCCAGGCCAAACCAGCCAGAAACAATGTTGTGGCCAAAGGTCGTGATACACTTCCAATTTTTCCCAAAGAAAATGTGTTGTGAAGTATTTTGAAACAAGGAAATGGCACAAGGAAATGGCATTCACCATTTTTATTCCAGAATCCACAGAGCAGATACTTTGCTTTTAATGCATAACGTGTTATTGTAAACAATGTCTATATATAATTGTAAGTAAGAGAAATGATATGTTTTAACATATGATCTACTTGTTCTATAACAGAAAATTTTAATTCCTAGCAAGTTGCCACTCAATGTTTAATTTTAACGTATGCAATTTTTTTTTAGAATTAGAGAGAGAAGACTTCAATGAAAATACTGGTATGTAGATTACTATTTCCTTACTGTGCATTAAATGTTTACAATATCTATATCTAGTCTACTCAACATTTGAATGTAAATTGACCAAGAAATCTATTTAATATTTTCCTCTGCAGTTTTTCAAAATAAGTAGAAGTACACTGACTCCCTGATATGTGATTTCACTCACAAAGAATAAAAAATGTTTTTTCTGATAGTTTACAATTACAAGAAAATGTTATCAACATTTTAGTTAATGATAGAAATTGTTCTGTTGTTACAATTCTAATAATTGTTTTACATTGTATTTGTAAATTTATGACACAGAGCACTGATAACCAATTTCACACTTCCCTTCTTTTTAATGAAAAGTATATTTTTAATGCAAAGCTATTACATTCTAATTGCAGTCTCTGTTTATATAAGACATAATATATTCTTCATCTGTGAATTCTGTATCTATACTTTGTTTTCAAATAGATAGTAATGGCACTTTTATTTCAGATACATAACATTTAATTGAACACATATAAACATAGCCAAAGTGAAAAAATATCACAATTAGAACAAGGTATTGTAATTGTTACAGAATCATTTATTGCTGGATTGCAAGTACCCTACTTAGTAGCAATAGCAATAGCAGTTAGACTTATATACCACTTCATAGGGCTTTCAGCCCTCTCTAAGCGGTTTACAGAGTCAGTATATTGCCCCCA